CACCACCAATGCGTAGTCCTCCACCATAATCCACTGTGCTTTCCTCGCACCCTGTTTCCTCCCTTCTCACTATCACCAGCCCCCATGACTCAGATCTGTGGTCAGCTTTCAAGGATCCATTTTAAAGTCTGTCTTTGTCTGATGCTTTGTTCGGTTTCTCTATATTCCACATACAGAGGTATATATATTTCTCCTGGCTCACTTCACTTAGGACAATACCTTCCAGTACCATCATGTTGCCACAAATGGCAAGAGTTTATGTTTTTAAATTGCTGAGTAGTATTCCATTGTATATATACACATCTTCTTGAGCCACTCATCTGTTCTTGATCCACTCATCCACTCATTTAGGTTGTTCCCATATCTTGGGTATTGTAAATAGTGCTGCTCTAAACAAAGGAGTATAGGTTTCCTTTTGAATTAGTGTTTTTTGTGTCCTTTGGATAGATACCTAGGAGTGGAATTTCTGGGTCACACGGTAGAACCATTTTCAGTTTTTTTTTTTTTTTTTTAAAGATTTATTTATTTATTTATACATGCACTGGGTACAGTCAGAAGCGCGGGAGGGTGAGAGAATTCACCAGAGCCACAGCGGGGAGCAGAGCAAGCAGAAGGACCAAAGTACACTGCTGAGGGGAGCAACGGGCGGCAGGAGAGGTCTGTGCGCCATGTGGGGCTCTCCTCCGGGGGCCAGGGAGCAGCCGGGGATCGAACCAGCGCCGCAGAGGCTTTGGGCAGCCTCGCAACCCAGCGCTCAACTGCTGCACCACCAGGGAGGCCCCATTTTCAGGTTTTTGAGGAATCTCTCCACACGTCTTTCCATAGGGGCTAAACCAGTCCATGGTCCCACCAACAGTGTCAGAGGATTCTTTTTTCTCCACACCCTTGCCAGTATTTGTTGTTTCTGGGTTTTTTGATATGGGCCATTCTCACAGGTGTGAGGTGTTATCTCATTGTGGTTTTGATTTGCATTTCCCAATGACAAGTGATGTTCAACATTTTTTCATATGTCTGTTGACCATCTGCAATGTCTTCTTTGGAAAAGTGCCTATTTAGTTCTTCTGCCCCTTTTTTGATTGGGTTGTTTTTGTTGAGTTGTATAAACACTTTGTATATATTCGACATCAGTCCCTTGTCTTTTGACATGGTGTGCAAATATTTTCTCCCATTCAGTAGGGCAGCTCTTTGTTTTGGTTTCTGTCTCTTTCACTGTACAGAAGCTCTTTAGTTTGACATAGTCCCAGTTTATTTTTTCCTTTATTTTCCTTGCTGCTGGAGATACGTCTGCAAAGATGTTTCTGAAGTATATGTCAAGGAATGTTTTACCTGTGTTTTCTTCTACATATTTTATGATTTCAGGTCTTACATGCAAGTCTTTTATCCATTTTGAGTTGATTTTCGCTAACAATGTTTGTTGAATGAATGAAGCTTCTGAATCAATCACCAAAATATACAATATTAAATATAGTTTCCATTTTGTTGGGCTCCTTACTACCAAGTCAGATCCAAATCCTAAAATGGCCCTCAGTTATCCCAATCATTTTTTCCCCCACCAAGCTTCTCTTTTCAATCTCCCTAAATTTTCCTATTTCCTCTGCTTGAATCCTTATCCTCTTTCTACCCAGTGAATTACTCCTCATCTTTAGAGATCCAGTTCAAATACTCCAGCACCTCAAGGAGTTTGCTCCCCTGACTTCCAGGCAGTCAGCTCTCCCCTTCTTGCAGTATCTGGTTCAGCCTCAAGCACATATTATATTGTCCCTAACAAATGTCTCCCTGTCCAGTTTGAATATTCTTTCTATGCAAAGAAAAGGTTGTAGGGGCCTCCCTGGTGGCACAAGGCGTTAAGAAGCAACCGCAGCCACTGCACCATGAGTTCGATCCCCGGCCAGGGAGCTACCCACCTGGTGCAGCAGACTTCTCCTGACTCGCTCACTGTTCTCCTCAGCAGTGTATTTCAGTCAATCCATCTGTTCTGTTCCCCACTCTGTCTCTGGTGAATCCTCTCACCACCCCACCCCCACACCTCTGGCCTGTACCCCAGTTCTTGTATAAGTAAATTAAAAAAAGAAAGAAAGAAAAGGTTGTATCCCAGCATTTAGAAGAGTGCTTCAATCCTGAGTCTATGTAATGAATCCTAAACCTTATTTCATCTAAAAGGTAGCTCTCAGTCCTTCATCTGAGATACAGATAAGCAACAAACTTTTGATGACATTCATATCTTCTTTTTAACCTTTAGTCTTCTGGCTCAGGACTGGTGGAGTCAGTGGGAGGATGGCACTGGCCCTTGACTAAAACGCAGTGGTGGGAAAGCATAAAGAGTGTTACTCTAACCTCATCTGAAAATTTTGCTGGTTAAAGCAATAAACTGAAGAAAAAGATGGTAAGGTTTAGGGTCAATTATGGAGGGTTTGACTTCCAGGCTAACAGCATCCTCAGTCCTGGACGAGGATAGTCATACTGCAACTGCTCTGTTCAGATGAGTTTCTAACAAGGTGGCATGGCATATAAGAAAAAGGTAGTGCTTGTCCATCTCGCCACAGAGAAAAACAATTAGTCCTTGCAAACTCATAGGGATGGGAAACAGACTAGTAAAATAAAACACACTGGGTATACATTGGAGTTTTAATCCAATTTTAAAGCATACAGTCTGAAACTTCCTACCAGAACCTGAGTTTCTCTGCTTTAGGGGGCCACACTGTATAAGTGACTCAGGAAGTAGGTGAGGGAGGAAGTGGCTGACCAGTTAGCACTTAAAGACCTAAAGTTGTGGTCCCATATGAAGAGTCAGAAAAGCGTTGGCTAAAGCATTCAGGCCTATCCACACCTCTTCCAAACTCACCACTGCCTTCTACCTATGTCCATCCAGTAAGATAGAATGGGAGGAGACGGAGATGGGAGGGTAGAGTTCTTAGAAACCACAGAATATCTAATTGTACCAACCACATGTGATTTGTAGATGTTGTTTACCAGTTAAGACATCTTACTGTGAGAATTCAGGGAGTTTGGTCTGCATCCAAACCACCTCCCCAGTCATACCTTACACCCTGCAACTCTAAGTCTAACTTGTTTAAGAAACATCCTGTATGTGTACTTTCATGCCAGGGCCCTTGAACATATTCTCTCTCAGCTTGGAATGACTTTCCCACAATGACTGCCAAAGTCCTACAGGTCTTGCAAGGCACCAGATACCATCCTCTCAATGAAACTGTCACAAACCCTCTGAACTGGAAATAACTGCCATTCCTTTGATGTTGTTTCCTTAGGCCTCTGGTTATATTGGTGCAGTGACAAAATTTATCACACACTCTTATCTCATAATAAATTGATAGGTATCTCTCTTCCCCAATGAGCTTTAAATGCCAAATACAGGGCTTAAAAAATAAAAGTACTTTTGCCACATCTTGGATATCAAGAACAAACTAGCAGTCCTAGAATGGTCAACTAGTAGTGGTGGTAAACACCACAGGACATCCTTAAGCTTCTCTCTTCTATATGTCACAGAAGGTAGTGACAGATTTCTATGAGCAGCTTAATCGCAGATTCAGTTAAATCAGCAGTTCTTCCCTTAATCCTACAGAAAACCAGCCACCAGCTGTTGTTCCTGCATTCCCACTGCTCTGTGGCACTCCCCAGTTGTCTTGCTGACTTAAAATGAGAGCCTATGGATACAGAAAAAAAGCCCAGCAATATGGAAAACAGCACCTTTTAAAAGCACCAAGAGCTGAGCAGCTCTGCTCTACTTCCTACTCCCCTGGCAAATTTCTAACGTCTGATTTTCACTATGTGCAGAAGAATAGAATTTCCTGCAAGAAAAGTCAGAGGTGGTCTCTGTTGCTCTGGCTGTTAATATCTTCCCTCCCAAATAAGAAAAGGGGAAAGTATAAGTGAAATTTTGTGCTCTCTTCATGAACTATGAAAAATGCATCCTATCTTTTTTATACACACTCCTAACATCTTGTCCTGATTTTTTCATTCATAAATATATGAATAATTATAGTTCACTTTTATTCATTCACTCACTTAAGAAATATTTACTGAAACATATCATGCAACGAACTATGTTGAGCCTTGGGTCCTAACTCTTTGATTTCATGTCCTTTGGAAGTCTCCCTAGGAAAGAGTCCAGTCATCTGTGGCCTTAGAAACTCTTTGCTTACTTAATCACCACTTTGTAAACTTGCACCCTGAGCTTGAGCCATGTCTTGAAATTGTGAGCACATTAAACGTGACATTTCCCTAGCCTTGCATGGCTTCAACTACCCTAATTACCTCATTTTATGAAATCAGAGAATATTTGTCTTTTTGTAATTGGTTTATTTCACTCAGTGTCATGTCTTAAAGGTTCATCCATGTTGTAGCATGTGTGAGAATTTCCTTCCTTTTTAAGACTGAATAATATTCCATTTACATGTATAGATTATACAAAGAAAATGTACCACATTTTTGTTTATCCAGTTGTATCTCTGGGCTGTGTTCATCTTTTGGCAATTATGAGTAATGTTGCTGTGAATATGTTTGCACAAATATCTGTACAAATATCTTTTTTTTAATATATACACTTTTTTTTTTTATAGAGGCATATTTTTATTTATTTATTTATTTGTTTGTTTGTTTTGTTTATGCATGCACTGGGTACAGTCAGAAGCGCGGGAGGGTGAGAGAATTCACCAGAGCCAGAGCGGGGAGCAGAGCAGGCAGAAGGACCGAAGTACACTGCTGAGGGGAGCAGCGGGCGGCAGGAGAGGTCTGCACGCCATGTGGGACCCTCCTCCGGTGGCCGGGGAGCAGCCGGGGATCGAACTGGCGCAGCAGAGGCTGCGGGCAGCTTCGCAACCCAACACTCAACCGCTGCACCACCGGGGAGGCCCATATCTGTACAAATATCTTGAACTTATTTTCTGAAAAGCATATCCTGCACAGTCTGCCCAACATATTGGATCATATTTGAACTACAGATTCACTACTTTGCCTGCCAAAGACCCAAGCTCTACCCTTACCTTCATGGCCCTGAACACAGCTGGTCAGGTCCACCGGAACACAGGAGCCATCATGGTCTCCTCTGGCCTGCCATTCTGCAAGCAGTTAAGCATCCTCAGCTCCAACCGAGACAGAAAGGGAGCACGGTGTCTTTAGTTAATGCTTGGGAAGTATGTCTGCGTCAGGCTCCAACAGAGCTACAAGACTTTAAAGGTGAGATGTAAAATTTAACAGTAATTTCTCCTATGTCAGTTTTTCAGTCACCAATTAGGGCAGTTCCATGATCACCTGCAGTGAGCTAGAAAAAGAAACATTTTCCATTTCTGGTTCATCTGCACTCCTTAATTCCTAGATACTGTGTCGAAACTATGGAAGTACACACTAGAGTAAAAAAGCAATTGTAACCTACTCTAAAAGTCTAAAACTATACAAAGGCTCTAGCATTATACAATAGGGGTAGCCAACTACAGTCAATGGGTTTAGCCCACACTTATTTTTGTAAATATAGATTTATTGGAATATAGCCATACCACTTATTAATGTATTGTGTACAACTGCTTTGGTGCCACACAATCAGAGTTCAGTACTTGCAACAAACTATGTATGACCCACAAATCCTAAAATATTTACTATCTGGCTCTTCATAGAAAATGCTTGCCAACTCCTGCTTCACACATCTTGGTTCATCCTCTTCTCCCCATTTGCAAACAAGTGCTGATGTAATCAACTGTTTGGGCAGAAAAGGTCTTCCTAAGCTAACTCTGGGGAAGTTGGCTGTTTGTAATGAGGCAATGCAAGTGCCCATATTCATCAAATGAAGAATAGGAAAGTAGATGCCAAGCTTGTAATTTAAGAAAAGATCTTTAGAAAAACAATATGGTCTCATTTTCCATCAACCAGTCAACAAGCTGAAGCAGGTGTGGCCAAGAGACAAACCATGGCATCTCATGCACAAAATAAAGGAAATGCCAGCAGTTAGAAACATCTCCAAACATAGGTTTTTTTAAATTCACCCAGTAGGCCAACCTCTAGATGCCTCAGGGTGAACTCCATGAATGTGGCTTGGCTGGTAAATGATTTTCCAAGATACCGCCAACTTTCCCTACCCACAAATCAGGCAGTGTCAAGCTCTCATATTCATCTTCTTAGTGTCAAAATTTAACAGCAGTATCCACAACATAACTTAAAGGAGAGAGCAAATTTGCCTTTTGGAAATAACAGTATTTTCTGATGAATCAGTTCATATCACAAGTGCACTCTGTGATATGTGCGAATGTATACATGTGCTCTCAAGAACCACATTCTTCCTCTTGGTTCTAAAAAGGAGAAAGTCTGAAAATGAAGACAACCACCTGAAAAAAAGTCTGTAGAAAACTCTGGAAATGAACGATACTCAGAAGCATAAATTTTCCAAAACGGTATCATTTAAAAACCAAGAATTCATACTAGAAGACTAGTAGAAAAAGCCTGTGTCTTTCTTTTCTCCTGAAATCAAATCGTGACTTTGAATCTAGGCATACACATCATTATCCTCAGTATTCAGTGATGACACTTAAGATGGTGTTTATTACCCTTCCTGCTTCCTACCATTAGCAAGACAGGTGAGTAATCTGACAGAGGATATAAAAGCATTGCTTCTACCAATGAACAGCTGTGTTACACCTCAGATAATATAGCTTTGTGCCTTGGGCAAATCCCTTAATAGCTCTAAGCCTCAGGTTTTTCTCATCTGTAAAATGAATGACATTGATAGATGACCTCGATGGCTCCTTTTTAATATGATTATTCTAGCTCTATAATTAAAGCTGTGTAATTCACTACACTACACATAACAAAAAAATGGCATGCATCAACAAGTCTCCACTTCATTTCCTGATAGTCTTCTCCACCTATTCTTTCACCACAATATCAGTGGGACAACTAATTAGGCAAGATTCCAGATTCAAATTTGTGACTCCTGAAGTTAGTTTCATTGTGAATCGTATAACCTGAATTTAGTGGGTCAAAAGAAACAATTCTAAAATTGTGCCTTTCACCAATGGAAAAGACATTTCCTTCTGGAGACTAGTCTCAGATATGGGTTCAAAACCTCAGCAGAGACCTTAAGAAAATGCTGGGAAGACCCAAGCCCACAGATCTTTGAGAAAACATTTATTAGTGGTTGCAAAACAAAGCATGTGGGTGTGTAGGAGGCTCCTCTCTCTTCTAAGCTTATGGGTCAGCAAATAGTATGCAGGTTTAGTGACCCCATTCTCTTCTCAAACACAAGAAAAATTAAAAAGTATGTAAGGTGAGGAAGAATAAAAATACATGAATCTGGTGGGTCTAAACCTCATGAATAAAAAGCTGTGGAGAACACTCACTGAATCTGCAGAGTTGGCCCAATCACTGGTTCCACAGGAACCTGATAGAGGCAGCCTGAGCAGTTGGGCTCCTCAAAACTCAGAGGAGACCAGCTGTTCAGAAGAGGGGATACAGACTTCTCTACTCAGACCAGGTCTTATGTTCTAAATTGCCAAAAAGGCTTGTATTTTCATCCCAACATTAAAAATAAAATGATTTGCTAGGAGAAGGATCATATGCTTGAAGAATATTCAGTTGGATTCATAACCCAAGACCTAAAGATGGACTTCAGGGGAACTGCTCTCAAGACTGAATTTTACATGTACACAAGCATGTGCATTTTTCTGGGGAGAGGGTTCTTTGCTTAGAGATTTCCAAAGAGGTTCAGGTCGCCAGAAATAGAGAAGGTAATTTACAAAAAAAGAAATTCCAATATATTGACTACCCTTTTCTGTTATATTTCTATTTAACTATCCAACAAGTAACCAAGAGCTTTAAATTTCAAATATTTCCAGAAAGAAAATTAAGCAAGGTGTCGGAGTTGACAGTAAACTTTGAGAATGTGGCATGGCTGCTTTCATGGTATTCAGACAGAAAAGACTCCATTCTAAAATTCTGGAAGATAGAAAAGATGTCAGGTTAAGGATGGGTATAATTGATCCGAGGTAGATTAATTCACATAGAAGTAGCTGAAAACAGTTCAATGTCAGTGACAGAAGAGGCAACAGGAGAGCATGAAAGAACGTTTGACCTAGAGTATAGAAAGAAAGAGCCTCGTCTCCATTCCTAGGTCTAATTCAATCTGTGATCTTGGACAAATCCTTCCCCCTTCTGTGACTGGGTCCTCATCTGGATAATTCAGACTACTGAAGTAGAACAGTGATTTGCAAATTCTTTTAAGACAATGAAATTATGTTTAGATAAAATCATCCAGAATTCATCAGAAACTACAACAAACTCAAAATGACAGGTCAAAAATACAAATTTGTCTCTATTCCCTCTGAAAATCCCATGCAGTTACTGTTCATAAGTATCTAATACTTGCTGAGCATTTACTACATGATTGTTTTAAGTGATTAACTAATGGAATCCTCAACACTCTTATTAGGTAGATGAAGGAACTGAATCACCAGCATTTAAGAAATTTGCCCAAGGCCTCTCCGGTGGCTCAGTGGGTTTAGCGCAGCACTATGGAGCTGTCCACAGCCTCTGCAGTGTGGATTCGATTTTCGGCCAGCCAGGGAGATGCCCACATGGCCTGGCAGACCTCTCCTGCCTCGCCTGCTGCTCCACTCAGCAGTGTCTTCGGTCCGTCTGCCTGTTCTGCTCCCCACTCTGCTTCTGGTGAATTCCCGCACCTCTGGCCTATACCCCAGTTCTTACATAAATATTAAAACAAAGAAAAGAAACTTGCCCAAATCACCACAGCTAGTAAGTGGCAGAGCCCAGATTCAAACCTAGGGAGTCTGGCTCATGTCTGTGCTATATTACCTTTCAGATGGACAATGATGGAATAGCAATGCTCCCAAGAAAAAAAAATGAGAGAGCAGTTTAGAAATGTTACCATATTTTGGAAGGTGAAAATCAGACAAATGAACAGTAATTAATGTAGGTGGAGAATACTGAGTACTGATACGGAAAACCACTACAGAACCTTCTCTAAAACTCAACTTTTAGAGACACAGGCTTTTGCCGAAGGTGTGAGCATGAGGGCTGAAAATATGCAGAACTGGTCCCCATCCTCAGGCAAATAACTGCCATATCAATGCCCCTGCAGAAAGCTGGAGGTTTATTTTCTGGACAGAATGAACTAGAGATAGAGACTCCAGGTTTAGAAGACAAGGAAGTGGCACCATTTGGGGGGTGGGGGGCTAAGTGAAAGTCTGTGTACAGAACCAAGAGCCCCTAGTTTTCCCTCACCATAAGACTCCTAGAATGATAAGGGTCAGTCTGGACAAGGTCATTAACTCTGAGATAGCCCACTGAAAAGGACAGCTCCATCCTCACACAACTACACCTTTCAGAATGTGGCCCCAGACCAGAAGTAGCATTACCAGAAACTTGTACAAAATGTAAATTCTTGGGCCCATGTTAGACCTTCTGAATAAGAAATTCTGGAGTGAGGCCCAACAACCAGTGGTTAAATAAGAAAGCTGGGTGATTTTAATCTCTGCTAAAGTGTTTAAAAACCACTACCCTACAGGCAGGTTCACTAGTCAATAGACCCATCCTACACCAAAAAGCTTCCAACCAGCTTTTCAGTGTCTATTTATCTGAAAAGCAGATTAGAATTGCCAGAAATTTGAGGAGAGACTCTCCTAAAAGAGAGAGCCCAAAATAGATTTCATTGAGCTGCTCTGGTGAACAGGAGTGAAACCAAGCAAGCAGGTAAGCATGGCTTCCTCCTGGTCCCCACCATAACACTGCAACTGAGCTATTCCTCAGGTTCAACAGAATAGTTAGAAAATCAATGAAGCAGACGCTCTATGGTCCAATCCAGCTCTAGCCTATCTTTGTACTGGTCCTTATTTGACCAGTACAAATCCGTGAAAGTAATACGGTAATTTTCACTGACATTCTCTTATATCCTAAATCTTAAACTAAAAATTCTCCCCAATTACTTCTTGCCACCAGTCTCTATTTACCCCAAGTTTATGTGTTGCAATCATATCATTCTCTGCTTACAAATCTCTAGTAGCCTTGACATCTTCTACCATGAACAAAAATCTCTCATTTGTTTATATCCTCTGCCTCTTTTAGTCCAGCTCATTTCTCAAAATTCTTGGTTCCCTACTAAAGATTTTTTCTCTCTCGGACCACTTCATTGCTCTTCTGGAAAACTAATCTGCTTCAGGAAGAGTTGAGAGTGATGCAAAATTTATGCCAGGCATTATGCAAAGAACACCACAAATGTTCTCATTTAATCCTCAAACTAGGGAGAATTAGATAATCATCCCCATTTTTACATTTGGAAAATTGATGCTTAGGCAGATTAAGTAACTTGCACAAGGTTACCACTAAGATTATAATCCAAATCCTTCTATCTCTAAAGCCACGTTTTTCACCATTGCACTCTACTATCTCCAGAGGTCTGACTCAAATATATGGAAGAAAAGTTTCCATAACTGCAGAAAATAAAAGCAAAAAGACGTGTGATAGTTTTGTTCTTAAACAAGGTCCTCCACAGATGCTGAGAACCTTACTGCCAAAGCCCAACAGGGGACAGGGCTTACCGCAGCATCTCTTCACATTAAGGGCTCCACAGTTTGGCCAAGTTGCAGCACAGCATGCCTCCTCAGCAGGAATGAATGCAGAGCACAGGAGGGAGGCGGGCTTTGTTGACCAGAATGTCAATAGGGAACAGGTGGTTAAGAGATTCCGTTCCCCGCGGAGCCCATCGGGCCAGGCTTTGGAACCATTGTGGCAGTGTGCATGGTCCCCCTCAAAAGATTTCCAGATTCGATTTTCAAAGCTCTTAAAGAACAAGGTAGTGCTCCAGCAATCAAGGGCAAACAAATGACTCCTGAGGAGAAGCCTCTACAACAGCACGGCTAACTTCCCGGGCCCAAAGAAATGTCTATGGTGACAAGAGACGATGCTTCAGTGGTGCCCCTCAGAATGCACCGTCGGCACCGTGCCCTCCTTACAGAGGGGCTACAAGTCCTTTTGCTCGTGTGTGTATGTGTGACAGAAAACGGAGGCGGGTACCTCAATGTCTCCCACTCCGGGTGCCTCAGCGGCGCACCTCTCAGCCCTTCTGAGGGATAAAAGGCTACCCCTCTCCGTCTCACCACTCAGCCCCCATCGGCCTCACCCATTCGGCACCTCTGTCTCCCGAACACGGTCTCTCCCTCCGACCTCCCCTGTCCATCCCTCCGCCGGGTAGACCTCTCTTCCCGCTCCCCCGCCCCTCTTTCCTTCCCACCCGGCCCCGTCCCCCTAAGTCCCATGCCGCCCCGCCCACGGTACCTTGAGGGTCACGTCGCACAGCTTGCCCTGCCGCCGGATCTCCTCCATGACGCCGTAGCCGCGACTAGGCAACTCGGACACGGAGAAGTGCACCAGGTCCTCCAGCTCCTCCGCGCCGTCCTCCACCATCTTCCCCGGCCGCCGCGACTGCGCAGGCCTTGCCGGCCGGCCCGATACTAACCAGGGCGGGGCGAGGGCATGCGCGGACGGCCGCGCTCGGGGCGGGGCTGGCATTGGACGGGCCTGCGCGGCCGCCGTAGTCGCACATTCTTCTACGCCGGAAGCCCCGCTTCCTGCTTCTAGAGCGGGTTTCGTTCCCAACGCTGGCCTCGCGTCTAAGCTGCCGCAATCTTCCTAGATTAATCGGTCTCTTTTCCCATTTTTTCAGTTCTACCCTGATCTTACTCGTACTCAACAGAGGCTCGTGGTCTTCATTTCCCCCACCACCTCGATACTTCCGGAATCGCCGGAAACAGCCATTGCCATGGCGACTGTGTACACAGCCCTTCCCCCAAGCGTGCCGGATTTCGGTAGATGCTGTTGCAGCAGTAGCACTGCGGGAGGGCTGCCGCCTCGCGAGCGGTGAGCAGGGGCGGAAAAGGGGAGAAGGGAGGCCGGAGATGGGATGTACACCCGGGTGGCGAGCGGCAGCTTGGATCCCAACACTGGTTCATTCTGGAGTCCCCCTGCTTGGTTCTCTGGTCTGTGAAATCCAGACGAAGGAGGACGTCGTCCTTTCAGTCTGTCTGTGGCTTAGTCTATTCTGCCCCACAAGTCTCTTTTATTGCTCCTGAGGTTCAGAGGGAGTGAGGGGTCTGGGTGTGTTAGGAGGGCAGATGTCTTCCTGACTCTTCTGCATCGGCTTTCTAACTGGAGAGGGTTTCGGGATCGCCCGTCCGAGCCTTTCGCGTCTATAGATGGAGGAAACTATTGCAGAGGGAATGGAATGGTGTCAAGGCTCCACACAGGGCTTTGATATGTGGCGTGAGAAAAAGGAGAAGGGCCAGTTATGCTTGGATCGGAGTCTTGTTAAGTCCAAGGCCCGTACATTTGGATCATATTTTGAGGATTCAGAGCTGCCGTTCTGGTGGCTTTGAGGGTTTCCCAGTAAGAGCTCCTCGCCTGGCCAGGAGCTCTTTAACGTAGGGATCCTCCTGGTGCCTACCGTTCCAACAAACGTTTCCTTTCCTTTTATCCAGCCTTCATGTATGTTTGGTTCTGTTCATTCCCACTGCTAAAACGAATAAGGAAACTGGGAGCCTGTTCCACCAGAAACATCTAAGGGTGGTCACCTTAGAGGGGACATTCCCCACAAGGTCCTGAGGGAGAAGGACCCCTACTAAAAGGGAGAGTGTGGTGAGGGACTGAACATGGTTTCTTGCAAGTGGTACCTGGAAACTCAGAAAGGGTGTGGGTTCAGGGTTGGAGGTGGTGTGGGTGGGGAGTGACATTATATGCCCTTTGGGACTCTCTCAGTAGTGACAGAAGATGGACCCACATGTGGAGAATGATCCACCCTCTGGCTTTCAGCTATGACTATGACCACTAATCTCCACTTCTTGAGCATCTGCTCTGTGCTGGGCACGGTTCTGGACATTGAGGGGGGATTCAAAAGACATAAAAGTCACAGTCCTACCCCTCAATTAACTTAATTTGGGAGCTGAAGCCCACTCAAATGAAGCGGCGTAAGAACGGTAACAAGCATTATTTCAGTAAGTGCAAGATGGCATGGGGTCCCCAAATGCCTGGGTATTAAAAGGCTGTTGAGTAGCAGATTTGCTGGAGGGGTATAGAGAAAGCTTGTTTTGAGTTGGTATGGCTCCTGGTACACCTTGAGCCATCCATGGGTGTGAGCATGGGGAGGATGGTAGCAAGGGATGCAAGGAAGGATGATTGCATGTGCATGTGTATGTTGGCAAATTGCAGGACAGAGAAGGGGCAGACTCTACAGGAGAACAATGCTTGCAGCTGGCATGTGCTGCCTTTGTGCTGTCAGTGGATGGGAGCGGATGGCAAGTAGACCTGGGCACCTGCCCCAGAGCTGCCCTACTTCACAGTCCCTTTTAGTGGGCACCCTGGGCAACACTGTAACCTTACTGGGCAGAAGGATGGACCCTTGGTATGATATGGGGAATAGTTCCCAGAACTTTTAAGATTGAGGGTAAGTTCTTGCTTGAGTCAAAACACATCTCCACTTTCAACTTTCCGACATCCTAGGTCAAAGTGAACTTGAGGGAATGAGAGGGAATGTTCTCTTTAGTTTCTTCATTTTGGGGTTCATGCTAGAGCTACTTGTCCCTCTGTATTTCTAGAGCTCAATTTTGCAGACCAAAAAATTAGTACATACATAAAAAACGTTTAGTACATAAATTAGACAAGCCATTATCCTTGCTCACCTGAATACTTTTCAGATTCATTTTCTAAATATTAAAAAGTCAGAATGATCCCATTGTGGTTGGAAAAAGACTTTCATGAAATAATTACTTGAGGAATGTAGGAAGTGGACAAACACTTAGCAGAAGACAAAGATGAAAGTAGCATGATTGCTTTTTGAGTTGATATCTGAAGGAATTTTTACAGGGGTTAAAGTCTTATTTTTTCCACATCATTGAAGCAATAACTGAAAGCACATGACATGTCTTTAATGAGATATTTAATGCCACTTCTTGATTCTTAAGATAATTGTAAGAGGCAATCAAGTGGTCATCACAAGTTATATCTAGAAATGTGGAGGAATATTATATTTTTCAAATCTGGAATCACTTTTATCAGGTATTATTCAACCTCTCTTAGATAATATATGTAGAGTGCTAATATTCTTTATTTAGTGTGCTTTTTTTAAAAGTGAAATAATTATAATTAAAAGAAGAAACTTCCTGTCATGTATGACTTTTTTAATAGTAAATTTCTTGAAAATTAGTTTTTTAAAAAACACTAAATACCTTGTCAGTTTAATCATTAGTGTGCTTTGCAGTGGCACAAACTTTTGTTTCCTTAATAACCATTGATACTGCAATTTCCTATTTGGAGATAAAATTGAGTCAGTTCCCTCTGCCTCATATTTCTCTTAACTCTTCATAAATTCAGCAAATTCCTTTGCAGTTTATCTTACTCAACTGTCCAGGAGTTTGATTTTGCCTCAGTTCCTCTATCCTGCCCCATGAAAATACAGGTCATCTTAGGGGCAAATGCCTCATTTCTTAATGAACTTCTCCAGATCTGACAGGGAGATCAAAAGAGATGTGCCTGTGTAGCACAAGTCCCGAGCTCCATTCAGTGTCTGTTTTGTTGGAGCATTAATTCTATTTTTTTTTTCCAGTGGCTCCAATGAACAGCATGGAGCATTAATTCTAAATGAATTTTTGTTGTTTTTTTTTGTTTGTTTGTTTGTTTGTTTGCTTTGTTTAAGATTTATTTATTTATTTATATAAGGCCAGATGCGCAGGAGGGTGAGAGGATTCACCAGAGACAGAGCAGGGAACAGAACAGGCAGATTGACGAAACACATTGCTGAGAGTAGCAGCAGGTGAGGCAGGAGAGGTCTGCCGCACCATGTGGGACCCTCGCCTGCCAGCTGGGATTGAACCAGCGCTATAGAAGAGGCTGCAGACAGCTTCACAGCGCGGTGCTCAACCGCATGCTCCACCAGGGGAGGCCCTCTAAATGAATTTTTAACATTCTTTATATTCATGGTTCTGGAATAATGAAATTATTGAAATTTCAGAGTTCAGTCTTAAGACTACTTGACCATAAAGTACCCAATTATATTGCACAAATTACAAAAATAATAAGGTAAAAGAAGGAAAGAAAAAATGGTAGATAAATCTCAGAATATGTAAAATTGGAAATGTTTCACCTCAGAGTAACTTAACATTGAAATGTGTACCTTTGCTGAATATTTTTTTTAAATGTTTTTTTTTTTTTATAGAGGCATGTTTATTTATTTTTTATTTATTTGTTTGTTTTGTTTATACATGCACTGGGTACAGTCAGAAGCGTGGGAGGGTGAGAGAATTCACCAGAGCCAGAGCCAGAGCCAGAGAGGGGAGCAGAGCAGGCAGAAGGACCGAAGTACACTGCTGAGGGGAGCAGCGGGCGGCAGGAGAGGTCTGCGCGCCATGTGGGACCCTCCTCCAGTGGCTGGGGAGCAGCCGGGGATCGAACCGGCGCCCGGCGCCGCAGAGGCTGCGGGCAGCTTTGCAACCCAGCGCTCAACTGCTGCGCCACCGGGGAGGCCCTTTGCTGAATATTTTTGAACAATGAAGTTATTTAGTATATTTTCATCTTTTTTTCTAGTATTAGCTAGATTTAACAAAACTGATGAAATTACAGATATATTTTACTTAGCTTTTTTTTAGTGCTCTTGAGATTTTCTCAGTATTTTTTCTCTCAATATTTAATCCTTTGTCATCAGTCTATAAGGCATCTAAAACATTGATTAACTTGTAAGTTCCCCTTAAAGCATAAACATCAACACTTTTATCACTTCTACTTAATAACCCTCTTTGCTTCTCCACTCTATGTCAATGCCAGGACCAAATTTTGCTAATTAGTATTTAAATATTTTCACACAAATATTCTCAGGAGAGGGCCTAGTGTTATTTGACCAATGAGACTAATATTCTATGAAATATGAAGTGGCTTAGTTATCATTTAGAGAGTTGTATAATTCCACTTCAAAATATTTTTATAAAATGCTTTGTTGGGCAGGATAGTAAAGATCTATGAATCATCCCCTCAATGCAGCAGTCTCCTTGTGGAATCTCTGCTGGCTGCCATCCTGACTTTCCTTGACTGTTAATGGTCCTTACCTTGAGACAGTCTTTTCCATTGTAAGACAACTCTACATAATAGAAAGGTCATTGACCTGAATCTGCCTCTCTATCTTTTACATTTGTAAGCTTTCATCTTGTTCCATGAAGCCACATCAAACATCAGTTTTAACATTCTATGTGGTAATGATTTGTGATAGTATAAATGAAAGAATTAAAATATATGTGTATCTGAAAGAAAATGATGAGAATATAGTTAGGTTTTAGT